ATAATCTGATCAAGTCCAGTGTTCGACACTGTGTCCTTAAGACAGATTCGTCCTCACTCTTTGTTAATACAAATTTATTAGACTCAAATACAAGCCTAAAACCATTTTTACTTAACAAAGACCCAGAAACTAAATTCTTCCGGATGTCAGGTACATGTAGTACGTTGTTGAGGGTCAGTTCTTTCCCTGATGTCATCTTCAAGATTACTTTCCCTTGTCCAGCCACAGTAGAAGTAGAAGAATTTCCCATGAAAAGTTGTTCACCATTTGCAGCCTCATTGTAGGTAGTGAACATTTTCTTGTCCGCACATATGTGACGAGTTGCTCCAGTGTCAAGCCACCCCAACCCTTTGCCACCGTGAAATATCCAACCCCAACCCCATCTTTTTACTACCGCGACACCTCTAACCCCTTTTTTATTAATATTGTAAAGACTTTTTACCAAATCGAGAGAGATTTAAAATACAAGGCTAGAGTTTTTAGATCCAAGGGTTTAATAAGTTAGAAAGGTAAATAGAAATAAGTTGTAGAGAGAAGAGGGAAAAAAAGAAAAAAATTGTAAAAACATAAAGACTATATTAATTTGCAATACTTTTGAAACTTTTACTTCCATTGTAAAACATAATATCAAGGTGCAAAAGTTTTTGGCATGAATTTGCTAGCTTTTTGGATTCCACCACTTCATATATAGGTGCGTTCACATATCAGTTTGGCTCAATTTTATGATAAATTAGGAATTGAAATTGAATCATTAAACTTATGTAATCGGATCAAAATCGAATCATAGAACCATTAATTTACCGACGACAAATTTCTTCGTGCCGGCATCTTCTGTCTTGTATTTCTTCTTCAAAGAATCCCACAATTCTTTTGCTGTTTTCAGAGGACTGTATACATTATACAGCATATTGTCAAGGCCATTTAGGATGTAGTTTCTGCATAGGAAATCTGAATGTTTCCATGCATCTACAGCGGCAACAACTTGCCGATCACTTTCACCCTCTTTAAGTGCTGGAGCCTCTTCATGGAGAAACCGGGCCAAATTAAGAGTTGTAAGATAGAACAGCATCTTCTGCTGCCATCTCTTAAACTCGGTACCGTTAAATTTTTCCGGTTTTTCTCCATGATGAACATGGTTCTGGATAGGGACCGATGTAGGTGTAACAATAGGAGTACCACTGCCAGATGCAGTTTCAGTTGTAGTAGCCATAATCTCTGATTACAAAAATCAGAAAATATTAAAACACAAATTAATTTTCTAGTTACTAAAACCAGAAAATAATTATAACAACAAAATAATTTTATTTTCCTTGTTACTAAAACTAGAAAAATAAAATATCACAAGAATTTTCTGTAATACCAAATAATATTCTGAATTGTTAATGACCCCAGTATCGTACTACTAGTTGTTGTCAAAGAAAAGAGACAGTATATTACTACTATCTGATTAAATAAACAAATAAAAACAGAATAAAATTAAACAACTTACTTGGTTAATTTAATTGAATAACTTTTTTGATCAAGTCCAGTGTTTAACACTGTGTCCTTAAGACAGATTCGTCCTCTCCACGGTGCTTTCAGAATTTGGACGTCTATCTCCCAGGATAAAATGATCTTATCAACGAATAAAAGCAGCACTACAATTTAATCGTTCGTCGAACACACAAAGTGTTTACACTATTTCTTTCAGAAATAAAATGCAGCAAAAGGCAGAGATTTAAAGCAGATGATGGAGTACGAAAATTGGAGTGAAATCCAAATGGGAGGCTAGTCTATTTATAGATGTAAAGGTGGCTCTTGGTTTTGAATTGAACAGGTATGAAACCTGTTAGTTTCAAATTTAAACAGATTTGGATCTGTTGGGTTAATTAATCAAACAGATAAAAACGGGAAGGGTTCTGTTTGGATGAACAATAAATCCAAAACAGTTTAATTCTGTTTGAAAACGGGAAGGGCCCTGTTTGGATGAACAATAAATCCAAACCAGTTTAATTTGAATTCTGGATTTTATTTTAATAAAAAATAAAATTAAATTCAAATGTTTTTAGCCTAAAAAGATTAGAAGCCCAACCCAACCACACACCACGTGATTTTTTGGGTCCAATGGGTCTAGCCCATTTTGCCCATAACCTCTCCATCTAAAACACTTGGGTACCCCTTGGGGCACACCCCAAGTATCTCGTACCAAACCCATACCTTATAAACCTATTCAAAACTTCTCACCAAATCAATGTGAGACAAGCCTTATTCAAACCTGTAAGGATTTTCAATCAAAACTCCATTTCCATGGAGCACACTTTGGCTTCAATTTCTCATTCACTCGGTAATGGTTTTGAGTAACCAAATATACCACATGAATCATAACGCGGCATAGAACGCGTTACCACTTTGACCCGAGTAAATCGACACTCGGGGCCCACCTAAAAAATAGACCAAACTTGAGAAAAAATTCTGGTTTTACTCAGAATTTTTCTACCATTTCCAACAAGAATATCATAATTGTTCTTATCATTACTGGCACTGGCACTGAATATGTTGCAAAGATTGGTGATTTTGGGTTGGCAAAGAGAGCAAAACAGATGAGGATGATGGTGACGATGTCAAAGTCTTGTAAATTGAGAGGAAGTCTCGGGTATTCGTCGCCAGAGACAGTGGTTTATAAAGGGCTACAACAAGAGTCTCCATCTGATGTCTGGGCTCTTGGGATGATTGTGTTTGAGATGTTAGCTGGGAAGTCTGTGTGGGATGGAAAACAAGATTCAGAAGTTGAGGACATTCTCTCTGAGATTGGTAAAGGGCATGGACTGCTCAAACTACCTAATCAGAGTGAGGTATCAGAGGAAGCAATGGACTTTTTGAAGGGTTGTTTTGCTGGAAAAGCTATGGATAGATTGACTACTCAGATGCTCTTGAATCACCCTTTTGCGTTTGGATTGGGCGAGGATAGCGAAGACGATGAGGAAGAATTATCAGTGGAGGATTCCGAGGAGAACGATTGCTCGCCATCGTCGTCATTGTCATTGTCAGATTACGAGTCTGATGATTGGAACTTGAGGGTCAAGAAACCAAAGGTGGATGAAGAGGCAATTAGTGTTTGCTCGTTGTTGTCATACGAATACAATGCTGTGGATGATGATGAACACGGTTCTTCTTGCGTTTCATATGATTGGAGTAACATGCCATTGGAGACTGAGGAATTGCAGGAAGTCGATAGGCCATTGTCACTGTCAGTTTGTTATTAGGATGATGAACTAGTTCTTCTTCATGGGTGTGTGTAATCCACTATAAAATATGTCTGATAGGGTAGAAAATTTGTAGGACAACATTATTGCTATTTTGAAAAAATTAAATCAATTGACATTGGAATCCTATCATTTTATACTAAAATATTTAGCATTGTGGCTTATATATTTAAAAATGTGATTGTCACATTATTTTGATTGAGTTTTACAAGAAAAACAATGACAAACAATTTCTATTAACAATAGCAGTCAGATGTGTATTTTAAAAATCAACTGTGCTGGAACCCCTGGTGGGAGTGACCCCAGCACCCCAGTGCCACATGGCCCCTGTGAGAGCAAGACTTGAAAAAAAATTTAAAAAAAAATTCCAAGCAATGAAAAAAAAAATTTCCAACCAACGAAAAAACAGGGGGTGTGCTGGGGGCCTCAGTCATTTTCCTTTAAAAATATAAATAACAAATATTTGTCCTCTATTTGCCTCAAATTTTATTTAAACACAAATAGCTATCACCTAATTTAGTTGACAGTAATGAATTGGATCTAGTGAAAGTTTGTGTTTATTTCAATGGCTTGGCATATCTATTGTACCAACTTATATTAATAGCCAAATTTCAACTTTACAATAAAAATACAATACAAGAAAACATCCATACAAATCCTCTGCTGACAAACAGAGGATAGTGCAAAACCTATATTGATTTTTGCCTCCTCTGAATTAACAGTAGTGTTAGAAATAAAAAAACTAAAGACACAATCCTCTCACAATAAGTAAATTCCACATATAGGTTCCACCCTTTATGACAGTTCTGTGTCTTATTTTTTGTTTGGTTTCTATAGCAGTGGATGTACTCCTGAATTAAAGCCTGTTATGATTTTGGGGCAACTGTTAGCCTCTGAACAGTAATGTGCTATTTTTTATGTTTAATGGCCTTTTTTGGCAAAAGCCACTAAGAATTTCCACCAACTTCATAGGATTGACATAGTAATGCAGCAATAACAAAATTTAAACAATTTCTATGTCCAAATTTCTTTCTCTCTGTTTTAATATATTTAGAATATATTTTACATTAGTAATGCCTAAATTTTGTCCCTTATGTTATTTTGGTTTTTATATTTTTAATTGACTCAATTTTGATCTTTAATTTTAAATTTTATATCAATTGATAAAGTCATTAAGATTGTTGGCGGAAAATGATCTTTCTCTTCTGGCCTCCGGCCGTTGGATTTGCCGCCACCATTCCACTGCCTTGGCTTGGGATTGAGGTTTTATTCTTTTCTGTTTCTGTACTTTTGTTGTTAGTTGTCTGATTGTGTACTCAAAGTCCATTGGTGGTGATTTAAAGCTTATCCTCTCTGTGGTTGTAATCTATAATTTATCTCATACATGCTTTATGTCCGATCTCTTATGACCAGCTCTGCTTCGTAGTACGAGCACAAGCACGAGCTGTGCATCTAGATATTTTCATAGTTTTTATCATTTTGTTTCTTGTAATATTTTTACTTTGTTTGGTTTAAGTGTGTTTGTTTTGGGCAAATTACATATACACCCCTCGAGGTTTGGCTAAATTATAGATACCCCCCTGAGGTTTGAGAAATTACGAATTCCCCCCTGAATGCTATATTTGCATAAGAAATTAGGGGGTAATTTGTTATGAAATATAAACCTCAGGGGACAAATTGTTATGAAAATACAAACCTCAGGGGGCGGGATGTAATTTTCGAAACCTCAGGGGGGTATCTGTAATTTAGCCATACCTCAAGGGGGGTATATGCAATTTGCCCAAGTGTTTTTGTTAAATGGACTCTTCTGTAAATGCCGTTTGGCTTACCTTAATAGATTTTCTACTCATCAAAAAATAAATAAATAAATAAATAATAAAAAGTTGGTTGAGGCTAACTCATTAAGTTGAGCAAATTTGTGATTTTGCTCCTAAAAGTATGACATATATCGCTTATTTGTGTATTTTTCACAAGAAGATGCTAACCGTTAAAATTAACTTGATCAAATTGAGAGAAAATATAAATTCACAATAAAAATCGAACCAATTAGAATTATAAGGACCAAAACAATGACCAAAATATATGGATTATCAATATAATTTGCCCTGCTTTCAATTATTAGATCATCCATCTCACATAATTTAATGATTGAGAGTTCATTAGAACAAAGTAATTTAGAGATAAAATATTTTTCACCATTTCATTACATTAACTTGTAGCATATTTGTTCCCAGGGACGGCGCTACATAGAGACATGCCCCCTCATTTTTTGAGAATTACACTTTTACCTCTAATTAGAAAAAGTTTTCATTTAAGTCCCTTTTAAGTTTCAAATATGTTTCAAAATGTTTCTGTCTCATCTTTTATTTCTCTTTCATTTTAATAAATTCCTTATAATTTATCATTATAAATGTTTAATTTTATCAAAATATTCTTTTATAATTATTTTCATCTTTCTCATTTCTCTCTTGTTTTTTTCCATATCTTTTTTTTAGCTGAAGATCAGGTGTGTACCCAATTTTTCCCCTCCCAAACACAATCTTTTTTCTTTCTTTCTTTTTATGCATGTTATTACATTTTAAATTGTAATTATCATCATATTTAAAATAGAAAATACAAAAAGCATCAGTTAATTAAAACATAAGGCACAAAATTTTGACATCACATTGATCTTTGGTTATTCTAGAATAATTATCATCATGTTATGAACTTTCATATGTAAATCTTTTCGTAGAGCTCCATCTAACCGAAAATTATAGAATATTCTTGGAGTATTATGTATCTTTACTTCCTAACTAATTATCATTCATCATGTCTTCTCATATTTCTTAATTACTCAAGTCAATATCTTACCTACACACTTTTTTTTTGGCAAGTTTTTTCCCTTCCCATTTCATTAAGTGTTGTCATATGATACACATGTATTTTAATAATTTATTTTGAAAACAAGTAACGCAATTATTCAAAAAAAAACAAAAAAAAAGAAGGCCTTTTTTAAGGGTTGTCATAGAAGTTCTCTTTCCTTCTTTGGTGTTTGCCCTCGTGCCAATTTTGAGTTTTTTGGGGCTTTAGCAAACTGTTGAAAGGAGTCTTTTATGCATAATATATATACAACAATGCTTAGTAGGCCAAATTTTTATGGTATGAATGGTTCGAATGTCTCAAAACGACGTTATTTTGGAGATAAAACGACTTTGTTTTGAGACATTCGAGCCATATAAATTCGAGCTACCGAGCATTTTTCTCATATATATATATATAAAAGATAATATTTGATAAGTCCAAATTAAGGTGAATATAAATTATTAAATCTAGTGGATATTTTTTATTGGTGAGAGGTTTACTCTTTATGAAATAGTTTGGTGAGAAGTCCATTTGTTTGTTTTGAATGACTTTTTGTTTCTAATTTTATTTCTTAATTTATCTGGTGACTTTTTGACTATCTATTCAAATTTATATCTATCTTTTAAAGTTATTTTCTATCTGTTCAAATTTATATCTATTTGTTCAATTTTTTGGATTATCTGTTCAATTTTCTCCCTTATCTGTTTAAATATTTGTCAACATTTTATTATCTGTTCAATTGTTTTTCCTTATATGTTCAAATTCTTGCCCTAATTTTTTAATTTTATCTTTTAAAATAGAAATTCATTTTTTTTAGAGGAATTTGGTCAAAGCCCCATCATAATAAACTTCAATATATTAAGGACAATCAAAAAAAAAAAAATCTTGAAAAGTCCAACATATACTACTATTATCAAAATATTAAATTTTAAAATAAAATATAACTTTTATCTAGATATCAGTTTTTAATAAAATTAATACTTTTAAATCCTCTCATCAAAATCTATCAAATAAGATTCATGTTGACTATGAAATTCTTAAAAAAAAATAAATAAATAAATAAATAAAATTATTACCGTCGAAATTGATGTAAACATTAACATGTTACTCTATTTGACAGTAACATATTACTCTATCTCATAGTAACATGTTACTCTGGTTCACAACAACCTATTATTTTGATAATATTGTCTAATAAATATATATATATATATATATTACTTTGTCCTTACTCAATTATGCGTCTCCTCCTTAGGGGATTTATGAAACAAAAGAAGCCTCATTTGGGAACAGGCTATTTTAATATTTTTTTAGCTTTTTGGCTAAAATATGAGGTAAAAAAAAAATAGTATGTTTAGAATGACTTTTTGATTTTTTATAAAAAGATGTGCAAAAATTAGATAGAAAAGGGCTTTGACTTTTTGGTATAGGTTATAGGCTTTTGATTTTTTTAATAACTTTTTGACTTTCAAGCTAAAAGTATTGCATGCCAAACGAGGCCTATATTGGGTTGTCATTTTCACCAAATAGGGGTCCAATGAAGGAGTTTTGGCTAAATTTTTCATTTTTTTATCTGTTGAAATAGATCTAATCTGTAGTATATTCAACAGATTGGATCTATGGACATCTCTCTCTCTCTCTCTCTCTCTCTCTCACACACACACACACACACACACACACACACACACACACCAGTGAGAACGAATTCATCATCCAAATTTGTTCAAATTCAACAACAATAACAAACAAAAACAATTTAACAACAAAACTTGCTATCAGATACTTGTGTCTTCTACCCGGTGTTTTGCCTGTGAAGCTCAGAAATAAATTCCTTTTGGTTAAAGATTTTAAAAACTTGTGAGAGAAGAAGATTGAAAAAAGCGATACCAACTCACTAAAACTAACTAGGGATTAAAGAGGGGTGTAGCTTCAATGACTGTAAATAAATATCAAAATTATCTACCCTCTGGCAACTATATCATACAAAACTTGTTGAGAAGTTTCAAAAAGAGAGGACATCGGCATGCACCTTTCAAAAGGGCCCCACTGCTTAAGAGGTTGACTGTTTGTTACAATAATAACAAGGTCGCATCACAGGAGCCCTTGTGCTAGATAACGATCTGTGAAACCAAGATTTGAGGTGGAATTTAAGAGAT